AATTCGCGTGGTGCTGCCTGTGCCTGCTCAGGATAGCCCTGCACAGGCTGCAAGCAGCTGCAGCAGGGAGCGCAGGCCACGGGTTGGGCAAGGGGCCGCTTTTCCCCACACTCTGCACCAGCTTGTTCCCTGCCAGGAAACAGCAGGTCGGGGCTGTGTGCTGCCCCTCGCCTGTATCACAGGGCTCGGTGGGCACTGGGAGTGAGCAAGTGTGGGAGCACAGGGACCACATCACTGTCCCAGGGCCAGCGCCAGCAGGGCCCAGAGCAGGGTGGCAGGGGTACAGGGTCCCGGCCAGCAGGGGCTCTATGGAGCTGGGCCAGCTCCCTGCTCTCCCTGCTGGTGCAGCCCAGCCCAGCTCCACAGACCCCTGCCAGTCTCTGCCCTGCTCTGTGCCCCACTGGTGCTGGTCGTGGGACATTGGTCCGAAGACATTGGGACATTGGTCCCAAGATGGTGACCAGGGGGCGAGGCACCTGTCAAGGAGCGGGGCTACCCATGCGGCCCTCGACCGCTTGCCAAAGCTAGGTAAGTGACCCTCCACCTGAAATAATTGCCTGCCCCTGCATTAAAGGTACATTGTAAAGACCCTATCTTGTAAAAATCCGTGTCTTTTCTAATTACCTAAGATTATTAAAACTAATCAAATTTAGCAAAAAGCTACTTTATATTGTAATATTTACTTTTTCTATAGTCTGGCTTTGAGTGTTACTAGACTGGTCCAGGTCAAAAGTGGTCCCAGTAGCTCCTTCAAACACGCCAATTCTTTGTTGCATAGTGATGCTTTTTTTTTTTTTTTTTTTACAAACAAGGTTTCAACCTGCCTCTGAAAGTTCATAGTTCATAATAAGAGGAGAAGAGAAGCTGGCCTCAGGGATCATGGGGAAACACATAAAGCAGCAGGGAAGTATCTTCAGGGGAGAAGAGTGTTAAGTAACAGGATATGTTGTCAGAGAGAGAGGAAGAGATATGTACCAGGTGCTGAAAACATAAGTGCAGGAGAAGAAACAGGAAAAGATATGAACAGCAACATTGAAATTGTCATTAACTTTCTGTAAAAGAGCAAGCCATCGGCTTGCTAATATGCATGCATTTTTCCATATAAGCAACTGTTGTAACCATTACAGAACCCCCTGGCAGATCTTATACTTAAGATGCAATTCCCTTATTTACTCAAATGCAAAATGAGTTCTCCCTACGCGCCCCCCCCCCCCCCCCGCTGGGGTGGGGGGGGGAAAAAAAAGAGACCATCTTATAATTGCATACTATGAAATCTCACTAAATACATTGTCTGTCATTAAACTGCTGTCAAAAGCAGCATGTGCTCAGCAGTGGAAACCAACTGCGAACTAGATTAAAAGAAGCCAACACTGAGCCTGACTATAAAATATATTACCCACACTGGGCCAATATGCTGACAAGATTCTACCACAAAAATAGGTTAGTGCAGCCTATTAAGTGCAATCTTCCTCACCGCTGACTCTTTTTCAAGTCGTAATGAGCCACAACATTGCATACAGTTCACCCAGACAGTTCAGTCACTCTGTTGCCTACTCTATCAGCCTGGTGCATATGGTTAGTGTGGCCCTGTCCTCCAGGTTGCCCTGTTCCTCGTCTGCATATACATTTTTGGAGCATCCTAGAGATGTGAACGGTTAAACAATTAATTGTTTAAACGAAAAGCTCAGTGATAGCTGGTTAACTTACTTTATTGTTTAACATGGGGCAAGGCAAAGTCTATCTGGGAAGGGGGTAGAAGGAAAGCTAACCAGGAGGCAGCAGGGCAGGCAGGGAGGAAAGAGCAAGGCCAGGGGGTCAGGGCAGGAGGAAGTACCCATAGCTTATGGCAGGGGTTGTCAACTGGGGGTACACATACCCCCGGGGGTACTTGGGAAGGCCCTAGAGGGTATGCGTGGGCAGGCAGGTGGGGATGGAGCGCTACCACCCACTACCCTGAGCCGCCGCCACCCAGGAGCAGGGCAAGGTGAGGACACTGGTGCCCCTCTGCGGGCCGCACAGGCGCCGCCCGGCCAGCTGGATGCAGAGAGGGGAGAGGGGGAAGATGCACATGGCGGCAGCCACCGCCACCTAACACCCTGTGCTGCTACTGCTCTGCGTGTGGCCACTGCCACCCCTCCGCTCTGCATCCGCCTAGGCACCACCCTGCCCCCTGCCCCCAGCTCCGCATCCGGCTGCCAGGGTGCACTTACTGAAAAAGGTTGAAAAACCCTGGCTTATGTGCCTAAAGAGGTAAATGGCAAACAGTCTAATGACTTGTCAATTAAGCCAGCAGCTGCTCCTTCACAGGTGCTCCCTCCCTCCCAGTATGGGGCTAGCTGCTCAGGCCTCTGGCCCTACTGTGTTTTGGGCAGTGAGTCTTTTATTTTGCCGAAACACACTCCATGTCCTGGGCCCCTAGACCTGGTGGGACACCTGCATGCCCTCACGCACTATTGGGACCTCTGGCAATCCAAACCACCAGTTAGAATATAAACTGAAAATCCATCTCCTGCCTTAACACAATGGATCTCGCCTCAGACAGAAAAGGTACATCGTCTCTTTAACTTGTCCAAGCCTGAGTTGGGCAGTCCCGTCAGCAGCAGAACTGGCCAGTCCACTAAGGCAAATGAAGTACTTCTGGGCAACTCACCCCTGGGCTTCTTCTGGCCCAATACCTGAAGGTTCCTCAACGCTATCCGTCTCTTTTGCCGTCCTCTTGAGAGGGTGCTGTTCCTTCGCAGGGCTTCCTCCCATGGCTCTGTGTCACTGCAGTCACTGCTGCTGCATTCCTCTGCCGCCTCTGGAAGCCCTTATCTCTGTCTCCCCATTATCACCTGGGGACAATTACTCCCTGGCCCCCAGGTGATAGTCTTTCTAATTAACAGCTAATGAGCAGCTACCTACCACATCTTATCTCACCTCCTTGTTTGCTCTCCCCTTCACCATTACCATGAATCTACTCTCCTTTCCTAAGAGAAGGCTTCCGCTACAAGTACACACACATGCTGAGTAGTGTTGAGCTGTGCGGTCATCAAATAAATGCTTTTACTCTGGAGGGGCCCAGTACAATGAACTATGCGGTAAATCACAAGCCTTTGATTTTGGACTAATGTCATGCATAGTTTGTACATAAGTAGGTGCTGAAGTGCTTCTCAAAAGTGTGTTAATGGAGCACCTGTGCTAAAATTACAGTAGTTTAAAAAAAAAGGTAACATGCATCAATTCTGGATAAACTAAGTGCATGGGTAATATATGCAAATTGCTACAACTGTGTCTAATGTTAAGGTTATTGTTTTCAAATTCACTCCTTACCTCCACGTGCTCAGGGAGAACAGGGCCTGACAGTAAGGAGAGGGGGAAGGGGGAAGAGTTGGCAGGAACCAGAGAGCAAAGGGGTACCTTACCCACCGCCCCCCATTTACTTTCCCTGCTGTAGCAGTGGGAAGGGGACAAATTCAAGTCAAACCTCTGATAATTAGATTCTATACCTGGAGAATTATAACAATATATATAGAATCTATACAATATATGTAGATTCTATAATTCCATATATAGAATCCAATTATTGAAGGGTCATTTTATAATCACCTTCTATTTGATTAAATATGGTAACCAGTTAATCATATCTTAAATAGTAACTCAGCCACATGTTCAGACAAGTAATGTTGTCATGTAATATGTGTAATAATTTTGTGGCTGGTTTCCATCGCACCTTAAATTGAACATGTGCAGGCGGACCTTTAGACTGTGCGGGCAGACCTTGAGGGCTAGCTCTAGGCACTGTTTTCTGCACCTGGGCCTCTGTGTGGGCTGTCCTTTGCTGTTTTGTTGTATTGTTACCCCATTTCCCCCTAATCAGCATTTATAAAAAGTCAAAAAAAATTGAACATGTGACAGTTTCCTGCCATGAAGCCCAGTGCCAGCTGCATGGTGGTGCTTGGTTGACAGTTCCCCCAGTCCCCGGACTGTACCGAAGTCTCTAGCTGGCTCCAGTGTGATCCAGGAGTTGGGACCCACAATCAACTGATGGTCCCAGGTTGAGAGAGTCTCATTCTGGCTCCAGTGCGGTCCTGGGACTGACAACAGTAATCAGCTGGTTGTGGCTTCCAGCCCAGAACCTAACAGGCATTTTTACACATGCTGCTGACGTGGTGCCGGACTGTGCTAATTAAACGTGCCCGCGTGTCATGTGTATCAGTGGCACAGCACATCTCCACGCTGGGAAAGTGGTGGTGGGGTGCTTTGAACTAAAGCACATCAAACGTGTTTTATTTCAAAGCGGACTGGTGCCATTTTCTCAGCGCGGAGACATTCTGCGCCACTGATACACATGACGCCCAAGGCTGCCAGAGCGCGTCACTGCACATGCTCCAGCAGACTCAATTAATTGAGTCTACTCTGGCGTGCTGGATTTCCAGTGTGTTGGAGCAGGCTCCCTGCATGTGTGTAATTGTCCAGTAGTTTCACTGGATACCTAACTTTCAACTTGCCAGTGGAGGCAGATCCTGGGTTCCCCCTCCACTGTCAAATAATAGTGGTGCAGTTAGGGCTTGATTTCTGATCCCAGAATCACGTGTCCTGCCATCCATATGTGGCATGGCAGGAGGCGTGATTCCTGGGATCGGGAAACAGATCACATTGCACCATTAAATGGACATGTGCCAGGCACCAGAGACATACAAATGTTATACAACAGTAAATGATGAGGAAAATTTCTTCCACATAATGTTTTGTTTCATAAGGAACAATGCTGCATTGGGATGAAGAACAAAATGCAGTATGCCTTTCTTGATTTATAAACTACTGGCTCAGCTACTTGTATATTTTTATCCCTTCTGCTGTGTACACTAATGGGGGCCCAGAAAAAGCCAGTGTTCTGCACATATTTTTCCTTTACTGCTTGGCCTTTACAACAAATAATATGGTTTTGAAGTTTTAATATTGCATTTAGGATTTTCATTCTATACATTTTACATTTCATTTACTGTTTTTTTCATCAGATCCGGGCTGTTACTGAAACTCGCGGGAATAGAGAAGGTGCAAGGGAGCTGCTGAGTATAATAGTGCAGAAGAAAAATTGGTTCTCTGCATTTTTGTCTGTCCTGCGTGAAACTGACCATGCAGACCTTGCAGATGATTTAAGTGGAAATACAGGAGGTAATCATGTTATTTTTCTAGTTTAAATGATGACTTCTTATCATCTCTGCTTTTAGTTTCTGCTCTGAGGCTTAGACCAAATGGCATGGGTGACTGGTGCCTCCTGATCCTGGGGGGGCATCAATGACCAATCACCAACTTTGGGGGGGGGGTCCATGGCACCCCCACATTCTCGGCGGGGGCACTGGCCATTGCCCCCCACTCCCTGGCCAGCAGCAGTCAATTTCAGCGGGCTACGTGCCCCTCCTACACATCGCCTATGCTGAATGGACTTCAGTGGATCTCACCCAAGAGTTACAGGATCAGGCACCTAATAACTTACTCCGTACATTTTTAAACATCAGGAAAAGGATTACTTCAAAATCAGAATACAATTTCCAACTTTGCAGCCCACCTTTAACTTTTTTCACAATTCAGTATTTTTAAAATCCACTTAATTTTGCCTATGGAGTGATTCTGAAGATTATTTATGATAAATTCAAAACAGTATTTTCAAGTTTCTCATACAAATTTCTGCCTCTTAATAGCAGCAGATAATAATGAATGCATCCTCTTAAGGACAGAATTCAACATATCATCTTTGTGGACCATCAGAGGTCTCAGAAGAAGTTGAATACAATAAACAAACAATTAGATTAGATTTAGCTGTTCATATAAATCAGGGGTATCAAACTCATCTAGCCCCATGATGGGGCTGGCTGTGGTCTGGCTGCTGCAGGGCTGTGGCATGCAGCCCCAGAGCTGCTGCTCCAAGTCTGTGATGCATGTGGTGGCCACTCTACCCTGCATGCTGCCTGCATGTCACTGCAACCCACAGGCCGCACTGGGGGCTGGATGATATCTGGCCCGTGGGCTGTATTTTTGACACCCCTGATATAAACTGAGAAAACTTGAAAAAGCTTCAGTGTTTTAGCTACTATTAACTTTATACTACTGTGGAATAAATTGTAATGTTCTGGGTTTGTCCTTCCTTAGTTGCTGACCAGGGGATTCTGTAACAAAAAAAAAAAAGATAGAAGCAGCTCCTAAAAATGTATCCCATGTTTTATAACAGACCAAGCAATATTTTAGAAGATTTAAGGTCTTTCAGAAGTTATTGGTTTGGTAACAAAGCTTTTGTTTTTTTATCACTTTTCTCAGTTTTTTCTGCCATAGCAGCTACAGTCTCCTTATTTGAAGAGTTGGGATACTATACTATGGGCATTTGTTTTTATCTGTGCAAACATTTCAGGACACTATTTTTTGTCAAAATGATTTGCCAGTTCTGGTGAAAACATCAGTATATCTACATGCAGTGTAATCATATTGAAAATACAAATACCACAAAGGACAAGTCTAAAAGAGACAGCGTTTGGTCTGAAAAGAGAACCACGCAGCAGGAAAAGACATAGGCACAAGCATTCAATTTTTTCTGTTTTATGAACCCACATTACAGTACAGGAAATCTGGCTGTCATTTATGTTCCTCCAAACCTGTTGATTTTTCTAAGGCTATAGAAATGTATTGAAATTATGATCTACCCTTAAATTTTATTTTCAAATCTTAAAGAATCAAATGTTCCCCCCTCCCCCCCAGAAATAGTGGCATTAAATGTTATGGACATATTGGGCACAGTTTCCATACTAAAATGTAAAGGTTACCTAAATCCCAAATTAGAAATCTTGAATCAACACTTAACCATGAAAAAAAAAGATATTCATCTCTCTGTGCTGAGGTGGATGTGAAAAATTGCATGCAGATTAGACTTGCTATTTTAGTTGTCATTGTTTAGAGACAAGAGTCCAAATTAAAAAGAATATCATGAGTTTTGTAATGCAATATGTTTATTCCTGCTTTATAAACAGAGCATAAAGAAGATGAGCCAAAGCAACCAACAACTGCAGATGAGGAAATGGAAGTTCAAAATTTAATGTCTTCTGAAACGGCAAAGGAGCAAAAGCAAAACAATGAAGTGAATGATATCCTGTCCAGGGAAGACAGTTTGTTAGAAACACATCTTAAAGATACTCCTCTAGTTTCAGGTATCTCTAATAATTAGTATTTTGCATGACTTGATTCGGGAATTAAAAGTAGTTAAAAGCAAGATCTATAAAATATTATAGATTTCTTTGCTATGATGCTAAGGACTTCAGTGCACTCGCTTGTGTGCTATGATTAAGGCTAACAAAGCAAGAACTGAAAAGGGGGAGCACTACTCTGGAGAAGTGGAGACTTCCCTGACTTTGCAGTAGCAGTAATACAAAGACCTGTTGATAAGTATTCCTCCATTGTGCACCAAATTCTGCAGCCTATTTCATTTAAATTCAGCAAGAAGTATTTATACGTACCTTGGCAGTTGGACTGACTTAATAACAAACAGACAATGGGAAAATCTTTCAAGATCAGAGGGTCCATAAGCCATCTTGTGGCCCACTTCAGAATGGCTTGAGGGAACTGTAGCAGGACCAGGCCCTGGGGCAGGACCAGGCCCCTGGGGTCCATGTGGCTTCTGCCCCACTCCAGCTCCTCAGGGTACTCTCCCTTTTCATCTCTTCTGCCATGCCTTGATGGGTTATTTTTATTGTAGAAGGAAGGCTGCACCCAGGTCCCAGAGTGAGCCCTAGCCTGGTTTGGCCAGCAGATCCCTCCCATACCCAGCTGATCCCTAGTCTTGTCCTCCAAGCCCTAAGTGGCACCTGTTACCTTAAGCACGATTCATGGCTTCCTGCCCCTACAACCATGCCAGTGCTTCAGAGATCACTCTGTATAGGTTTTGACTTTCTTAGTCTTAAGCCTACAAGTTACTTTGGCTGGGGGCTGGTAGCATAGGCCCACAGGCTCTTGCCTGGCCTTTCAGTCTCGGTCTCTTGTAGGTCTCAGGCCATCTCAGTTGCCCCCTCTGAGCTCAGGCTCCAGCTCTCTTGGCCTCAGCCTGCTTCTGTCTCATGCTTCTGCCCCTGTCTACTTGTCCATCCAATTACCGTGGGCAAGGCCCACCTGGCTATCTAATAGCCCCATTTTACAGGGGCTAATGGACGAATGAAACAGCTAAATTCTTAGGACAACTAATGAAAAAAAACAGGATAGAATTGCCATGTGGGTCAAAGGGTCAAAATGTGAAAATGAGCGCGCCTGAGGGAGACACCAAGCAGAGCCCCTTGGGCTTCACTTATCATCCTCAAAGGCATCCAAGGAGTCAGTGAACTCCGCCCACTGGTGCTCTGCCTGGATACGTGCATGGACAAGTGAGAGGAAAATAGCCCCGCAGTCTCCAGGCACCTTCCCAGCCAGAGCCTCCTTTCTGGTCAAGTACACGGCCCACTTGGCCAGGGTCAAGAGCAGGTTGACCAGGAGATCCCAGGGTGACCAAAAACAAAGAAGCGGAGGGTGAAATTCAACCAGAACTTCAGGAGGAGGTGGAGGGGCTGCAGCCTGGCGCACTCCAGGGTCATCTATGCCAGGGTCTCCCTCTGCCTGCATACACACCATGGTGACAGCTCCGTGGAGGACTCACCAGCTGAGGTCCCCATTGGCTCGTGGGATGAGGGTGGAGTATAGGTTCAGCCACTGAGGTGCCTCAGCCATGCCCTGGCCAAGTAGGTCCCGCCACTTGGTGTCTAGACAGGACGTGAGGGCGGCATGATGGATCGTGTGGCTCACGAGCATGTAGAGGTGGCGACAATGGACGGTGGAAAAATGGACCAGTCTGGTGTCCTCCAGCTGGCTTTGCCCCTGACAGGTCTCAAAACCTGGTATGCCCCTCAGGCACTCCTATGGCTTCTTTTCCACCCCACAGCCATCTCCAGTCCTCCAGTATAAAACTAAAATAAAAATGCAAGCCACTGCTTTCCAGAAAAACTTCCAGAGTTCCCCTCTGGGTCATCATACCACTGCCAAGACACCTCCTCATTCTCTGGCTCTCTCAGGCCTGGGACTGCCTGTCATGGCCCACAGCTTTGACTCTCCACCAGCCTGAGCTGGCAGGAGCTCCTGTCCCCAAAGAGTTCAGGGCTGCACTGCTCCTCTGGCTCAGGGGCCCTGACTTATGTCTCCTAGGCTCTTCCCCTTCTGGCCAGGTGCCATCTTGACCAGCAGCAGGTGTGTCCCCTTAGCCTCCAGAGCAGCTTACTGCTATTTTTCTAGTCAAACTGTAGTAGCGCCCTTGCATCCTACCAGAGCATTGCCCTATTGTCCTACTGTTAGGCAGCTAGCCCTGCAATAGGTACTCGCAGCCCTCGGGGTCTAGCTGCCTACTGGCCTGCAGCTAGCCCAGCATCCTCTGTCTTCCCCCCCATAGTGGGGACATGCCTGCTGCAGCTTCTCTCTTCAAGTAACAGGAGCCCCTGGCTCCCTGTTGCAGAAACAAGGCCACAGTGATCCACACAGGATCATGTACTATCACGGTTGAATCATGGATGATTCAAAAGTATGCTTAATTAAGGAGTCCTTTACATCTGCTACAGATTTAGATGGAGCCCAAGTAATAATAGTAATCAAATTAAATCCTGCCTGCCTTGCTGAGATAAGATATTCCCAGTGATCAACTCAAATGAGCAAGGCTGAGTAGGAGTTGACTTTGAAAATTCCAAGCCATCAACGTATAAAACTAAATAGCTGCTTTTTTGTCTAACACGGTGGTTCCCAGCCTGTGGGCTGCATGTGGCCCAATCAGCATACTTTTGTGGCCCATGTGACATCCTGTCATAATGTTTTTTAAATGGAGAAGAGATGAAGTATACGAGTCAGTCATTGTCACCTTGTATCATCTGTAGACACTTGTTGCTGTGTGAAGTGCATGTAACTATGGTGCAGCACAACACAGTGGAGAATTACAGTGGACAGTGGTCTGAAAGACAGTTGTCAAAGCTGATTAAAACAGCTGTTGGCATATCAGCTTCATTATCCTGAGATTTGCTTTTTTCATTCTTAAAATAATTTATGAAAATGAGCAATTTTAAAGAGAATGTTATACTTCCAACCTTTAAAAATCCAAATTCATTTTGGAAAATGATTACTTTATATTTTCATTTCTCTTTTAATGGATACTATCAAGTGAGGACTTTGTAATGAATACTGTCATTTGCAATTGGGATAATTATCTACAACCACTTTGTCAATCCATACCACATTCTCTGCTGCCTGCTTGTCTTTCAGTAAAAAAAAATTGTTGATAGGGGTACATGTAGAATGGATGCTCGGCATTTTAATTTGACCTCCCTACTGTCTTTTTACATGGAAAGTGAAAATGAGAGAAAGTCAACTTAATATTCAGAGATGGATTTCAACTAATATTATATTTAGTAGGTTGTCTTGAAAAATCTCTGAAAAAGGAGTGTAATTGATAAATTTTACTCTATCATTAGAAAGAATGTTCTGCATTTTTTAATAGAGCATAGCAGTTAGAAATTTATATAAAGTATATGTTCTAATTTTTGGCTACATTTTGACAGATGTATTGCTCTTAAAGCTACGCCAAAAAAATCCACAGGCAGTAGATGGAAAGAGGAACAAATATTGTCTGTACCTGGGATATAGAGCTTTTTTTGTACAGTCACTGATTTGGCCACCTTGAAGGCCAGTATGGAATGGTTGAGCATCTCCTTCCAGGTTGCTATAACCAGGTGTTCACAGCATAAAACATCATCAAAGATTGCATTCCTAGTAGTGGTTTTAATACAGAAGACAGATCAAGACTGGAGACTGAACTACCCATAAGATCAAGATTAGAACTTCCACTTCAGCTTTATATTTATTTTGTTCTGTGGACAAGAAGAGGCCTAGTTATTGTTAAGTAGCCTTTCAAGGGCCCTAAAACTTGCTAAAAAGAGAGCAAGATACAATTCTGTTTCTACTGCCTAAGGCATGTTGACCATATCTCCACTTAAGATATGGTCACTCCACTCCGCTTTTGAAAGTTTGTCTGCTACTACATGGTTGGTCCAAAAAAATATATCACCCTAAGAAATCCTTACCAGTAGCTAATATTGTAACTTTCCTTTTCCCAGGAAATGCTAAATCTCATTTTAAAACAGAATCTTTTGTTTATAATGACCGTTTCATTTTGTGGATTGTTTGTTGACTGCAGCAATTCTCAGCATGTGGGATTATTAATTGAAAACCTCCTAAGTGCTACAAGTCAGATTTTCCATGGTCTTTCCTCTGTGGACTGTTTTAAATACTACGGCTAGGGACAGACATTCAAAAAGCCTCAGCCTGGATTGATTCAATCTTTGTAGGTTAGTCTAACCTGCAAAGCTCGAACCAATTTAGAGGTGAATAGACATTCCCTTTTCATTCCAGAAATGCAGGCATGTGCCTGCAGTGGCTCAGGCTAGAAGCCAGAGGGTGCTACAGCAGCCCTACCTTCCCTTCTACAGTCCTGAGCTGGGGGGAGGGGGGGCATGGCCAGGCCCAGCAGGACACTCTGATTAACCCAGCAGAGAATTGATAACAAGTATTTATCATCCCTAACTCAGTGTTTATCACCCCATTAAGAAAACAACAGAAGGACATTACCAGCTACCTGTTGATGCTGCCTTTGTCACAGCAGGGACCTTAGCCAGCATGTGGCATGCAAGATAATATATGGATACCTATCCATAAGGCAGAGGTGAGCGGGGAATTCCTTTTTAACAGAGTGGTGAGGGGTAGGGAATAAGCAGCCTGCAAGTCTCTGTTGGAGCTGCAGCCAGGGAGCAAAGGGGAGGGGCCAGCTCTGCTGTGGAGCAGAGAGCCCCACCAAGCCCAGAGAGCATGCCAGGATGCTGGGGTGCCTGGTTTAACTTAAACTAGCGGAGGGTCTGGGACAGACATTGCATAAACCGGTTTGACCCCAATCAGTTAAGCCTGGTTTATCTCAGACCGATTTCAGCCATTTTCAGACTGGTTTATGTGCACTGAACATCTGTTTTGTTCCAGGTTTAAACCAGTTTCTGATCATTTAAACCGATTTATATATAATGTCTTTCC